GCGCGCCAGCGGGAGGGCGGGGGCGGCGGGGTGGGCACCGCCCCCACCTGGGCCTGGCCCCTCTCGCGCTCGGGGCCTCGGACCCGCGGGGATGCGGCCCCTCTGTGTGGGGCCCCGAGCCCTGGGCTGGGGCTCGCTGCACCGCCGGTGCGCCTGAGCCCGACGGTGCCCGGAGCCCGGTCCCCGCCGTGGGATGTGGTCCGCAGATGCCTCGGAGCCACTAACTGTGCGCTCTGACCCGGCCTGTGGGTGGCGACGGCCGCTTCGAGAGACTGATGGGCTGTGCATCCGTCTCTCGCGCAGTGCGTGTGTGCGCGATGGGGGAACCCAGCTCCCCATCTTTCCGCAGAGCGCCCCGCTCTGCCTGTCTCGCGGGTCTCGGTCAGTTTCTCAGGAGGCCTTGAGCGTGAGAAATGCCTGCGCATTATCGCCATCACCTGAGTCCCGGCCCTTCCTTCTCCCCACACACTGGGCTGAAGCTTGGGGGGACCCATGAACCCCCTGTGTGGAAAGGGGAGCCCAGAGGTCCCTGAGAGAGCTCACAGTCACTGTTTCGCAAACCAACTGGCTGAGGGGGCAAAAAGAACGACTCTCGGCTGCTTGTCTGGAGTGAGGGACTTGCCTCGGCTGCCCAGCGTTTTCCCTGAGTCTTTTTTGCGTTTAGCAGATACTTACACAACTACTGTGTACTAGGAACGAACTTGTGCTTTGCGTCAACTAGCTGGGGGGCGGGACTCCCAAGAAGGTAGGGGCTCCTCTAAGCCTTTCTTTGCCCCCCAACTCATTGCTTCTGTGCCCGAGCCAGGCTCTTCTATGGGAGCAGCCTGGGTGGGTAGAGGTGCCCACAAGAGGTACTTCTGAGAAGCAGGCGCAGCCCCAGGTGCCCTGCCCTGCTGCCGCCTTCTCCTCGGACCCCACCCCCACCCCGGCCCCTGGGGGCAGGGCTGGAGGAGTTGGGGTGGTTCCCGGAAGCCATCAGGACAGGGGTGGCAGGCAGGCACTTGTTCAACAGCACAGCCGGGTGCTGCCTACCTTCCCTCTCCCTATGCCCCCCATCTTTCCCACTCAGCCATCAATGCAAACCCTGTGCAATGGGAAGATGGGAAACAGAGACAGGGAGTTTGTCTCCAGCTCTCACGGCTCCCTGTAGCCTCCCTGCACCTCCCTGTTAGCCCTTCCAGTATTTGGCTCATTCAGCTGGCTTTTGCTCCCACCAGCCTCCAGGCAGGGCCCAGGTCTTACTAGTTTGGAACTTACAGCTCATGACCCAGAGCTGGGCAGGGTTATTCTGCAGTTTGTGTTTGTTGAATGAATGAGTGAGGACACTAGCTGTGCTTTCAGAACTTAGTCCATGTGCATCTTCCCCAGTGAGAATTGTATCTACCTCTCCCAACTCAAAACTCACTGCCATCGAGTCATAGCGACCCCTCCTTGGGTGTCCGAGGTGGTATCACTACAGAAGTAGATTGCCCAATCTTCCTTCCGAGGAGTGGCTGGTGAGTTTGAACCCCCAGCCTCTGGTTAGCAGTGAAGTGGGAGGGGGACACCTCCCCAACAGATAGTAATTGTATGCACCACCATTTATTTGGCTTGTATCGGCCAAAGGTTTGGTGGTGTTTCCTCTCAGCTCTCTGGGAAGTGGGCCCAACAGGGGAGAGAGAGGTCAGGCCAGCTGCAGGTGTTCACAGCCCAGGACCGTTCTTTTCCCTCATTGCTCTCCTCAATGTGTCATCACTGTCTTAGTGGCCTGTGTGGTGACTTGTTGAGTGTCTGCCTCCCTGCCAGCCCTGGAATGCAAGCTTCAAGAGAAGGCAGAGAAGATGGCTGTTGCTCACCATCTTAACCTTATGCCCTGCACATAGTAGGTGCTTGAAAATGTTCCTTTGATTGCATGAATGAGTGGAGGGATGGAAGCAGGGGTGGGCACTTCCTGAACGAGAGGGGACTTCTCCGCAGTGGAGCCAGCCCCTCTGAAAACAGTCAGATGGGAACAGCAGAGAGCAGGACCCAAGCAGGGCTCAGGGCCACCAGCCGGTGCTTAGTATATATGTGTTCCTGGGGTCCCAGCCAGGACGACTCAGGGTATTTGTCCCTCTGGTAGCATAGTGGCTAAGGCACTTGACTGATAACCAGAAGGCTGGCGATTCAAACCCACCAGCCAGTCCTCAGAAGGAAGATGGGGCAATCTACTTCTGTAGTGATACTGCCTTGGAAACCCAAGGAGGGGTCACTGTGAGTCGGGTCCGACTTGATGGCACACAACAACAACAACAACAACACAGAGGTGGTAGATGGTGGCTTAGACTAGCCTCGGTCTGGTCCTGGTTCTAGAGCCCCCAGAAGGTTCTAAGGACCCTGAGCTGAACCCCAATGATCTTTATCTCCTCACCCCTCCAGAGGAGATGTGCCTTCTGGAGCCTGAAGGGGCCGAGGACAGAGTTTCACACTCGCACCTTAACCTCTGCCACGGGGTCTCAGCAGGAGCAGAAGGCCTTTTACACTTGGAGACCCCCCCCCAACAACCGCACTCTCACCCCTAGTAATAGTCCATTTTGGGGGTATTCCTTCAGTCTCCCCCAAAGTCGGGGTCCACGGAGGCCAGGCGGCCAGGCAATGGGGACACCTCCTGCAACAGGCGCCCGTTCTGCCCCGGCGCAGCCCGGTGACTGACAGATGCAAATGTTGGCCGGGGCCTCGGCAGGCCGCTCCCTCCCTCCCTTACTCGCTCGCCTCCCAGCCAGCTCGCTCCTTTATCTTATCAAAGCCCCGTAATTACAATTGCTATTTTGTTTCCGCGAATCTGCAATCAGAGCTCCCGGGCCCTGATGAGGGAGCGCCTGTCAACCTGATCGCTGAGTGACAGCCCGGCCACCTTCCCTGGCCGCCTCCACACTCCGAAAACACAAACACACACACACACACACACACACACACACTGCAAACACAAACACACACTCCTCGCCAACGCAAACACGGCCTCGCCGGGACCCAAACACACACCTTCTGCCTCTTTCCAAACGCACCCTTGGCCCCCCACCCGACGCGGGTCCCTCAGATCCCCGCCAGCCGCGGCCACCCCGACGGCAGCTTGCTCGGCTGCGCGCCCCCTGCGCCCGGCGTTCAAAGCGCCGCGGACTCCCGCCCACCGTTCAAATGCAAATCTCCCAGACTGCGTTAAGCACTTGGGGCCCCCGTCTGGGACTCCCCCACTCCAGGGAGCCCCGAGTAAGAGTCTGCTCTTCCTCCGGCGGTCGGCAACTCCGGAGTGCGCCTTCAGCCCCCGCGCTCTGTGGCCAAAATGAATCGGCAGCTCTCTTACTGTCCGCTTGAGGGGGAAAGGGTAGAAGAGAGTACCGGGGAGGGAGGAACCCCCCACGGGCACCCGAACTGGCCAGGAAACTGCGGGGCCAGGAGACAAATGTGGATTGGGCCCCCACTGCGGGGAGGAGCGCGCTCAGCGCCGCCGGGGCCTCAGGAAGCCCGACTGGCACACAGGCGCTGAATGCACCGAGCCATCAGCGGCGTCGCGGGGGGTTAATATCCGGGCGAGGTCACGCGCAGGGAGTGGGTGGGTCAGCTTGGGAGGCATCCCCCCAGAGATGACTTTTCGCTGCACTCGGTCGGTCTCCCGCGCCTCCAACGAAGCACGTGCCTAGAAGTTTGGAGGCTGGCGGCGAGAGGAGGAAGGCAGGGGCATGAACGCCACCACTTGCTTCTATTCTAACTCGAGCCCTTCCCAGAAATGAATGAATGGATGGATGGATGGTTGGATGAATGAATGACTCAGCGCCTTCTCTTCAGCCTAAACTTTGGCAGCCCAAATCTCTCTCCAGGCACAAAAACCTGGCACCACGGCGCGCACCTTGAGAGGCGGCCTGGGAACGAAACCTTCACCTCTTCTCGGCTGTTTCAGCCTCACCCACCAGAGGGCGCCAGCTGCCCGTCCCCGGGTGCCAAAAGGAGGTCAATGGCTCGGAACCTACGGTGCCCTGAATCCCTGGCTCCCTGGTGAAAACATTTCAGGAAACTCCTCGTGGAGCAGGGAATAGGGCACTAACTGACCACTGCAACACAAAGAAAGGCTTCTTTTTCCTTTGTCTTCAACATAAGAAGGGAGGTTGAAAAAAGGACCCCTGCTTCTCACCAGTTCCTCAGGTAGCTCCTTTTCCAGGGGTGCCTACTGACAAGGAAGGGTTTTTCCTGTTGTGGGGACACTTCCTCCAAAGTTGACTTTACCTGCATTACTGGCCCCTTCCAGTTATCTAGGACCCACTCTCACTTGTCCACTGACTTCCCCAGCCACTGGTACGGACAGCGGCCTGTCCCCAAAGTCCCTGGTCTCTGTCCATCCTTAACCTGTCTGGCCCCTGGCTGTCTCAGGAGGTAACCTTCTGTTTGTTTGTTTGTTGGGCATTGACACCCCCTCATCAACAGAGCTGCTGAACTGTTGACCCCAAAGCTGGTCACGCACACTCTAAACACACCATGTGCATTCAGTCTTCCTGGCACAGCAGTAGCTAGGGCCCAGAATCACCCAATTCCCAGGAACAGAGACCCCAGACCAGCAGGATGCTGGGGGGCAAGAAGCCCTTAGCCCAGGAGGCAGATTCCCAGGGGCTCCTCTCCGTCCCCATATGCCAGGCCACCCGGATTCTGGTTTCCATCACCCAATCTGGCCAGCCCCTTCCATCTGGCCCCCAGAATCAGGTTTCTAAGGGCCCAGCCCTGCTCAAGACCGCCTGCAAGACTCAAAAGAGGAGCAAAGGCTGGCCTCCACCCGACCCCTCCCAGCCCTCCCTGGGCCTGAGCCCCTCATGGGGCTAGGGATGCACATTCCTCAGGCAGCTTAAGCCCCCTTATCTGTACCCTGCCCATCACCCTGAGTGCTGACAGAGGCCCAGACCCTTGTTTGGACACTGATAACCTCCTGGAATGGTCGCCCCCACACACCCACAGGGCTGGGAAAGGTCTGGATGTTGGGAGGTCTTCTTCCAACAAGGGACTTCAGGCCCAGGCTTGGGCCTGGCCCCAGACCCTGGAGATAGCAGGATCCCACATTTCCCCAGACTACCCCAGGTCCAGGGCCACCCTTGGTGCTGCCACAGTGCCACCTGGTGGTCCCTAGGGGAAGATCAACCCAGCATGGGAAGAAGCTATTCAAATGATTTTCAAAAAAATAAAAAACACATGTCATTTTATTTCAACCTTTAATCCAAAAATGTAAAAAGGGCTAAAAATGTGTAGTCCTGAGCTTCACCTACTGACCTCCAATCCTCGTGGGAAGGTGGGGGAGAGGGTCAGGATAGGAGTTCATTGTTCCTCCCACCCCTAGAGAAAAGGAAAGCCCCAGACATGGTTGGGTCTAGAACAACAGGGCTCTATGGAGAATGGACCACCTTTTCTCCAAGCACCAGCCCAAGTCCCCCCCTCATCCCTTGCCCCAAACCCTCCTCTTCAACGGAGAAGAAACATTTCAAATTCTTGAGACTTGTCCAGGAACATGGTGCAACAGGCTGTTGCTTGACCTAAGAAGAGACAAGGTGTCAGCATCTAGACCCTACCTGCTCCTTCTGCTCCCTCCCCCAGCTGGGTCCCACCCTGCTCCTCCTGACTCACCAAGGAGAGTTAGGGCCTGCCCCTCTGCTTCTTGGCAGGCAGGACAGGGCACAACTCAACTTCCTCCTCCTCACTGTTGTCTTCCTCACTCTCCTCTTCCTCAGAGACATCATTGCTTATAGTAACTGGTGGGCAGGCAAGCAGAAAGGGGGAGAGGAGGAAGGCTGATGCCATTCCTCCTTCCTACCACATGCCATTCATTGGGCAACCCTTAATTATAGCCCTTGTGGTAACAGGTCTGCAGGAATCCTGACCACTTAGAGCTTATGGTCTAGCTGGACTGAATCTCACCCATCAAAATGGGGGCCAAAGAGCCAAAGGAGTGCAGGGCAGGAGCTGAAGCAGCGGGGCCAGGTTCCCTGAAGGGGGAGGCCCAAGTAGGACGGAGGGGTGGAGGACACATGATGCAGGGGGCACTGCCTGGGGCAGGGGGGCATGTAGGCCCTGTAAGGGGACTGCAGTGGGAGAAGAGAGGATGGAGACGGGGCAGGTGTGCGGGAAGGCCTGATGGAGTAGACCACAGGCAAAGGAGAAAGCCCTTCTCTCACTCTCACCAATCTGGTGCCGCCCAGTGATCCGCACAGGGCCAGAGCCTGACTTCAGGCGGAAGGTTACAGGTGGTTGAAGCTGGAAGTCATCCAGGCTGAGCTGGAGGAAGAGGAGAAAGGCTTGGGTCTTTCCTGTCCCCTTACTGTATGGTGGAAAGTCCCAAAGCTTTAACTCTCTTGTCACACCCCTCCCTCCTCCCAGGTCCAAAAAAAAAAAAAAAACAACTCACTGCCGTGGACCCAGGCGGTATCACTATGGAAGTAGATTGCCCAATCTTCCTTCCGAGGAGTGGCCGGTGGGTTTGAACCGCAAGCCTTCTGGTTAGCAGGCAAATGCCTTAGGCACTATGCTACCAGAGCTCCCGAGAAACTCACCATGGGTTGGCAGGACAACTTCAGGTTGGCCACAGGAACTGCAATCTCCTGATGGTCATGGTTCCGGGCCACAACTTCCACCACATTGCACTCATCCTTGGCCCCCTCCGTGAGGCAGAGCTGGGAAAGGTACACAGGGTTTCTGGGTCTCCTCAAAGGAGGCTTGAGGTGGAGGCATCTCCCCTAGAACTTGCCCAAACTCAGAGGTGCCTGGATCAACTTGCAGAGCAGCTGTCCATGCGGGAGTTAGACGGAGGTGACTCCGTGTAAAGGGGGGCGGGGAGAGGCCCACCCAGTGCCTGCCCAAGCCTATGCTTTCTTTGCCACCCACCTCTCCCTCCCCACCAGTCCCTCACCATGGTCAAGGCCAGCATGTGCTCGGCATCATCCTCTTCCTCTACCTTGAAGGTGAAGGAACGGGTGCCACCGGAGAGCTCACAACCTGGGAGAGATAACTAAGTTGCATAAGTGTGTGTGTGTGAGGGGGGGACATTTAATCAAACCTCTGTCACGTGTAGCCATCGACTGACCGGCCAATACACACCCACCAGACGTCCCTTCTCAAAAAACACCTAGGGCGCTCGGCCCTGGGCCCCGCCCCGCACATCTGGGCCAGGCGTCGCCTCCTGCCTCGCAAGCATCCGCGTAGCAGGCCCGCTCTTGTCAGGGTCTGCAAGGTAGCCCACCGTCCCCACCCAGGCTGTGCACTCGAATGGATTCCTGTTCTTCATCCCCGCCGCTTACCGAGGCCTCCCCAGCGCCACCCTCATCCCTTCCTCTACACAATACCGAAGAAAAAACTGTCCATAGTGACTGGGGCCGGGACGCGCAGACCCCCGATACCCCCAGCCCGGGTTCGGCTCTCCTGGCTGAGGAACGCTAAGGCGGCGGCGGTGCCGGCGGCCATGCTGCAAAGACCTTCTGCAAACTCCGCCTCCGACACGTACAAAGCAAGTGACACACCGCCAGTTCCGGCCCAGTCTCTTAAAGGAGACGCTCCGACCGAGGGAAGAAACCGAGGCGGAAGTTGTTTCTGCTCCGCTCAAGTCTCTCCGAGGCGGTCGCGGCTTGTTGAGATCTGTATGTCAAGAAGCATGGATTTGGGGTTAATGTTAACGCCTTTGCTTATTTCCAGGACCAAGGTTCTCTGAAGGCGGCTGCTGCCTCCATTTTCTCTAAATCCTAGCATCCTTTAGTCGCCCACTCTTCTAACCCTGGGTAAGCTTCATTGAGGCATGGAAGACTTTCCTACTCCCTTCCCTAGCAAAGGTGGGTTGCAGGGCAACCTGAGTTCCTACAAAAGCAAAGGAAGTGCGCTCACAGCTTTGTACTTGGCAGAGCTTTTGACCCAAGTGAAGCCCAGGAGTCTGAAGACTTTCAGCTCCAGGAATTTCCCCTCTAACTCAGCCCAACTCCTCCATCTTTATAGTTTAAGCACCTCTGGTAGCTTAGTGCCTAAGGCACTTGACTGCTAACCAGAAGGCTGGCGGTTCAAACCCACCAACCACTCCTCGGAAGGAAGGTTGGGCAATCTACTTGGGTAGTGATACCGCCTCGGAAACCCAAGGTAGGGTCGCTATGAGTCGGGCCGACTCCACGGCACGTACCAAGAACAAGTTCCCGCCCAAATGACCGTGCACCCTTTCTATACCGCAGACTTGCCCCTCCACCAACCTTGTGTTTGAGCCTCAGATGCTGGCCTTGCTGTTGTTGCTGTTATGTGCCGTCGAGTCGGTCCCGACTCATAGCGACCCCTCCTTGGCTCATAGCGAGCCCTCCTTGGGTTTCCGAGGCAGTATCACTACGAAATAGGATTGCCCAACCTTCCTTCCGAGGAGTGGCTGTTGGGTTTGAACTGCCAGCCTTCTGGTTAGCAGTCAAGTGCCTTAGGCACTATGCTACCAGAGCTGTTGTTGCTAGGTGTCATCAAATCCGTTCCATAGTGATCCTACCTAAAACAACGTAACACTGCCAGGTCCCGTGCCATCCTCACAATCTTTGCTGTTTGAACCCATGGTTGCACCTATCTCATTGAGGATATTCCTTTCACTGACCTGCTATTTTACCAAGCATAATGTCCTTCTCCAGGTGCAAGTCCCTTCTGATGATAACATATCCAAAGTACATGAGGTGAAATCTTACCATCGTCGCTTCTAAGGAAAATTCTTGCTGTACTTCTTCCAAGACAGATTTGTTTGTTCTTCTGGCAGCCCGTGGTATCTTTAATATTCTTCACCGACACCATAATTCAAAGCAATCAATTCTTTGGTCTTCCTTGTTGTCCAACTTTTTCATGCATAAACTCAAAACACCAAACTCGCTGCCATCGAGTCAATGCCTACCTACTAGCGACCTCCATTGGGTTCTCAAGACTAAATTTTTACTGAAGCAGACTGCCTCATCTTTCTTCCATAGGGCAGGTGGTAGGTTGGAACCATCGACCTTTTGGTTAGCAGCCAAATGCCTTCACCACACCACCAGAGATCCTTTTTGCATGCATATGAGATTTTAAATACCATGACTTGGGTCAGGTGCACCTTAGTCCTCAAGGTGACATCTTTGCTTTGTAACACTTTAAAAAGGTCTCTTGGAAATTTGCTCAATGCATTAAGTCATTTGATTTCTTGACTGCTGCTTCCATGGGTGGGCATTGATTATGGAGTCAAGTAAAATGAAGTAATTGACAACTTGAGTCTTTTTTATCATGATGTTGCTTATTGGTCCAGTTGTGAGGGTTTTTGTTCTCCTTATGTTGAGGTATAATCCATATCAAATTATATTGTTATAATATTAATTATATTTATATATTATTATATTAATAATATATCTAATTATTATAGGAGCTCTGGTAGCTTAGTGCCTAAGGCACTTGACTGCTAACTAGAAGGCTGGCGGTTCAAACCCACCAGCCACTCCTCAGAAGGAAGGTTGGGCAACCTACTTCCGTGGTGATACTGCCTCAGAAACCCAAGGAGGAGTTACTATGAGTCGGGTCCGACTCGACGGCACATAACCACAACAACAATTATTATTATAGTCTTTGATCTTAACCAAGTCTTCATTCTCAGCAAGGTTGTCTCATCTATATTTGATCATTTAATGAGCCTTCTTCCAATCTTTGTATCACATTCTTCATACTCCAGCTTCTTGGATTATTTGCTTAGCATACAGTATGAATATGGTCAAAGTATACACCCGACACACACCTTTCCTGATTAAATCATGTGATACCCCCTTGTTCTGTTCAAACCACTGCCTCTTGGTCTATGATAGGCTCTGTGTGAGCACAATTAAGATGTTCTGGAATTCTCGTTACCTACAATGTTATCCATAATTTATGATCGACACAGTCGATCTCTGCAGTCAGTAAACCACAAATAAACATCTAATATTCTTTGCTTTCAGCTAAGATCCATCGGACATCACCAACGATGTCCTCTTCTGAATCTAACTTTAATTTCTGTAAGTTCTTTCAATGTACTGCTGCAACTGTTTATGAATTATATTGAGCAAAATTTTGCATGATGATATTGTTAGGTAATTACCACATGCACATATCACCTTTGGAATGGACACAAATACAGACTTCTTCCAGTCACTTGGCCAGGTAGCTGTCTTCCAAATTTCTTAGCATAAACGAGTGAGTGCCTCCAGTGCTGCATCCATTTGTTGAAACATCTCAATGGGTATTTCCTCAATTCCTGTTGCCTCTTTTTCCCAGTGCCTTCAGTGAAGCTTGGATTTCTTCCTTCAATACCATCAGTTGTTGACCATACATTTCCTTCATCGTTGAATATTGAGTAATTCTTTTTGGTATAGTGACATGTGTGTTCCTTTCATGTTCATTTGATACTTCTTTCATCCTTCAGTAAGTATCTTACCCATTGAATTCTTCAGTATTCCAACTCAAAGCTTGAATTTTTTTTCAGCTTGAGAAATGGGGAACATGTTCTTCCATTTTGCCTTTCTAGCCTCAGGTCTTTGCACTTTCATACTTTGTATTAAATCATTTGTTATTGTGATCTGGGTGTAAATTTACTGAGCACATTTATCACCATAATACTTTTAATGCCGCCCTTTGAAAGCTTCAAGGAGCTCTGGTGGTGTAGTGCCTGAAGCACTTGACCGCTAACCAGTTTAGTGGTTCAAACTCACCAGCCACTCTGTGGAAGGAAGACTGGGTGATATACTTCCTTCAAGATTTACCGCCTTGGAAACTCAAAGTGGACCGCTATGAGTCAAAACTGACCTGATGACTCAAGTTTGGTTTTGCTTCAAAGCTTCTGCTCAACTTTTACTCTCTTCCATTTGCATTAGCGACTTTATGTTCAAAAGCACGTTTGTCTCTTCTGACCCTGAATACTTCAGCATTTCCTTTTTAATGACCTTTTACTTTTTTCACGTATGAGGTCCTTGATGTCATCCCACAACTCATTTGGTCTTCTGTCATTAAGTGTTCAATGTGTCAAATCTATTTGCTGGCCTTGTTAACAGAGTTTAAGTTAGTTCAGACGTGGGCCCAACCACTATTCTGGCAGGCCCACCCTTTACACTTTCTTTGAACCTGATTCCTCAACAGCCCAAGCACATCCTTCGCCTTAGATTCTTCTACATCTCACACAATTTGTGTTACTTCTCCCATCTTTCAACGTTGGGCCAAGAAACAGGCAAATTACGTGTTCCCTATCCTATTACTGGGGAGCTCTGGTAGCATAGTGCCTAAGGCACTTGACTGCTAACCACAGGCTGGCGGTTCAAACCCACCAGCCACTCCTCAAAAGGAAGATGGGGCAATCTACTTCCCTAGTGATGCTGCCTCAGAAACCCAAGGGGGGGGTCGCTATGAGTCAGGGCCGACTCAACGGCACATAACAACAATATCCTGTTATTTGGCAGATACTCTTTCAAACTAGCTTTCCTATTTTACTTCCAGGTTATAAATTTCAAAGAGGTGGCTTGGCAGGAACTGGTCTGCTTTTTAAGGCTATTGCCCTTGTAGAAAATCTGGAAGGAAGCCCTTTACAGGGATGAGAATGGGGAAGGCTGCCTCTAATATCCAGTCTCAAACCTGGGACAGCTGTGGCGGTAAGGAATGTCTGCCTGTAAACAAGATCTGCTTGTAGACCTGAGAAAAGGTGGAAGGCAGGACACAGGAACCAGGTTCACACAATACAACACTACACACATTCACTTCAAGTTTTATTTTGCCTCTTGCATGGTCTTCACATAGTTTTACAGTTTGTTTTCTACAGAAACTGAGATGTGATCAAAACAATAAAAGTGTCATTCCAACCTTAATAAAGATTCATAACCATAAAAGATGTCAGCATAGCTAGCACTTTATGATCCTACAGTGATGAAGGTTTAGGCCTGGACATCTGTTTCACAGTTTACCATCTGTGACCAGAAGACTGGCCAAAATGATTATTAAAAGCCAAGATAAAGCCACAAGCAAACTTGATTTTTTTTTTTTTTAATTCATGATTCCATAGGAGGTTGACCGTAAAATCTTCCAGATAAAATGCTAGTGTTGTCCACTAGTGTATGAGATACACTCAAAGGGAAACAGTATCTACTAGGGATACTCCCTCTTCACTTCCCCTCAGCCTTCAAAAATGCAAACTTGGATCCAGCTTTCCAACATGCCTTGTCTTTCTATTAGTTCAAGTTTCTACTCTGAAAATGAAGAGGCTTCCTTCCTTGCCTTCTTCTCACCCACTCAGTGCACTCTCATGCCCTGATTAAAGTCAAACTTGGTATAAAGCTTTAAGGTTCCTTCAAAGCCCACTCTGGCGGGACTTCTATGAAGGAAAATATTTCATGTTTCCTTCTCCTTGCCCCTCACCCCTCACACAGCTCAAAGTTAAACAGCTGATGCAAAACTGCAGGGAAGCAAGATAATAAAATTCTGTTATGAATCTGTGGAGAAGTCAGCCAGCCAGGATGAAAAAATGACTCCTGCAGAGATTACCTGCCAGCCTCATGCTCAGGCCCCTTAAAAACATCAAATCCAAATTAAAATACATGAAGCTTTCAGAATCAGTGGTTAAAGGAGGAAAAAAGTTAATCGTAAAGCATTGATTAAAGTGTGCTCATTCTTTCTTTTTAAAATTAGATACAAACATGCAAGAATAAAGAGACACTGATTTAATAAAACCAGTACTAACAGGTCTTAAAAATTAAAGGACAATTGATCTAAAGGAATGGGACCAATTAGTCCCTGAACCCTACTTGACAGGTGTCAAAACTAACATTTCACATGCTGACCTGCTATTGAGGTTAATTACCAGAAGTGACTGTACTTTGCAACAGACTGAGTCCTAGTTACAGAAGTTAGGCTTTCGTACCCCAAATGGTCATACCCTAGCCCTAGGTGGGAGGCACTTTAAAAAGGAAACTTCTAAAGAAAAAAACAAATTAAAAACCCCCACATAGATATAAGTAAAGCAAATCTATGTTCCACTATGATTTACATTATTCAAAGTGCCATCCTGAACTAACACCCTTTTATTTTCCAGAAAAAAACTAAAAACAGTAAACACAAAGGATAACCAGGTTACAACTAGTTTATATATACAAAGAAATTTACAAGTTTGTCGTTTTGAGGCTTTTGCCCCAAACAACTGCACATTTGTCCCTACAAAGCACAACATGCCTGAACCAAAAGTCGCTACAGGAGACAACTGGCCACGGCTTTACGAAAAGCAGAAAAACGGCCAAAAACTGAAATCACATATTCAGCTTAAACTAATGTGACAACCATCCCACTTGGAATCCCCACCCTGAAGACTCCAAAACCCACTAAACCATTCTTATCTCTGCCATGTACCTCCAAAGAATGAGAGACATTTCATTCAATAAACCGAGAAGGATGACAGAAGTGATTTTGATTACCCTTAGGTGAGAAATGCAACCACACTGGTGCAGAAAACAGTGCTGACTACATTTATTGAAGACCACCCCCTCCCTCCCTATAAGCCTATGTAAGAGGTCTTGGCACCTAACACAAGACCCAAAAAGAAGGCCCATCCCTGTTTCATATAGGATTTGTAGCAATACTATTTTCTTCCAACCAGTGAGTAGTCTGAATGTGTGATGGGTCAGTTTTACAGTCTTCTTTGTTTCTAATCCAATTTTCTGATTGATTTGTTGCCACTCCAGAAGCTGAACTGTATGAAGACCCCAACCACCACCCACCAAGTGGAGTTAAAGAGACTTTTGGACAGTTCACAACGCCAATACGTGTCACAGGCTCCGGCCAAGAATAACCACATCCTTTGGAAAGCCTTCCATTTTTGCAATTTCAAAACAGCCTAGCTTGCTGTAAAATTCCAGAATTCTTTTATCATCTGGTCTCACTTCACAGAAAGCCCCCCTGGAGCCTAGAAATAAAACAAATATACAAGATATAAATAAGTCACTTAATTAGTAGAATTATGTGTGTAAACTATGAGTAATCTTTGTGGTACAGTGAAGCACTTGGCTGCATAGTGAGTGAATCTCTTCCCCAGAAGGAAAAAAAAGAAACAAAAAACCTGTCAGAGGAGAGGGTGTAAGAACTCTTTAAGGCAAAGAACACCTCAGTTCAAAGTCACATTGCCTTTGAAAAAAAGCCTGCAGGGCAAAGCCTATTTCAGCATAATAGATAAGCAAATGTGCTACAGATTTGAGGCACACCTCACACACCTACGTGGTTTCGTTCCAAGCACAATGCTGAGAACTGTGCTTCTTCACAGATACAGTTGTTTAAATTCCTCCACAAAGGGGACAACACTAGGACTCAAACGTTTTAAGGATGTAGCAACACCCCAGAAGCATGTGCACATATCAGCATCCCCTCAGGCTTCAGCAAACTACTTGTTTTTGTATGGCCCAATGGCAAAAAAAAATATTGTTATGTTTTTAAAGGGTTGTTTAAAAAAAGAAAGAATATGCAGCAGAGACTGCATGTGGCCACAAAGCCTAAAATACTATCTGGCCCTCTTGCACCACAAACACTTCAGAAATCAAACCACACATGGTGGGGAAAGGAGCATAAATTCACCTCTTCTTTTTTTTCCATCCTATTAAGACAGTTCTGTTCCCACTATGCGCAAACACCAGCAACTCCACAAATACATACTCACCATTAGCCTTGAGTGAAGATAGGAGGCAAGCCATCATGCTTTTGGCCACACTTGGATCAGTTACTTTTTTATGAATATCCATTTTAATCAGGGAAGGAAAGTTGGCAAGGAAAGTTTCTGGCAATACTTCCTGTTCTTCATGGAAACTCAACATTATTTTCTGGAAAAAAAAAAAAAAAAAAACCTGAATCTCTTGACTTTCAGGAGCTATATATTATGTATCTATATATCTATCTATATATCCCAAATACAGAATCCATCAAACAGGACAAGGAAACCAATATTCAGTAACTCTTCTTATCATAATTATCATATGCAAAATGAACTAGTTTGTAATTAGCTGAAGCATTTTAACTTTTAAAAAGTTTGACTAAATATAATGTGGTATTCTGGATTGGAGCCTTTGGAGCAAAAAAAGAACATTAGAAAACTGGTGAAATTTGAATAAAATATGTTTAGTTAAAAAGCAATGTACAAATGTTGGTCTCTGACCAAAAAGCTATTGCCAAGTTAATTTCAACACTCAGTGACCCCACATGACAGAGCAGAACTGCCCCACAGTTTTCAAGGCTGTAATCTTTACAAAAGCAGACCACCACATCTTTCTGCTTGCAGGGTGACTGGTGGGTTCAAACTGCCCACCTTTTGATTAGTAAATGACTACTTTAAACACCACACCACAAGTGTTCTACTGGTCTCTTAAAAACAAAGCCCATTGCCACTGAGTCAATTCCAACTCACAAAGACCCAGTAGGACAGAGTGGAACTGCCCCATAGGGTTTCCAAGGCTGAATATCTTTACAGAAGCAGACTGCCTCATCCTTCTCCCACAGAGCAGCTGGTGGGTTCACACTGCCCACCTTTTGGTTAGCACCTGAATGCCTTAACCACTGTACCACCACAGCTCCTTATTAGACTTGACAAATATATGATGGTAATATAAGATGTTAACATAAAGAGAAAAGGGTGAGAGGTAAACAGGAACTATGTAGTCTTTGTAACTTTTCTGTTCATCTAAAATTCTTCAAAATAAAGTGTATTGAAAAACATTTGTAATAAATGCTCACAATCATTAGCTATTAGAGAGATGCAAATCAAAACAACAATGAGATACTAGCTTGTTCCAGCACTAGTAGCAAAGTTCAACAAGACAGAAAATAACAAATGCTGGCGAGGATGTGGAGAGATTGGGACTCTCGTACACTGCTGGTGGAACTGTAAAATGGTACAACCATTGTGGACAGCAGTATGGCAGTAACTTCAAAAGCTGGAAGTAGAAATACCATTTGACCCAGCTATTCTATTACTAGGTATATATCCTAAAGAAGTGACAGCCATGACAAGAACAGACATATGCACACCCATGTTCATTGCAGCACTATTTACAATAGCCAAAAGATGGAAACAACCTAGGTGTCCATCAACTGAGGAACGGATATCCAAACTATGGTACATACACACAATGGAATACTATGCAACCCTAAAGAAGAATATAGAATCTGCAAAACACTGCATAACGTGGATGAACTTGGAAAACATTATGCTGAGTGAAATAAGTCAATCACAAAAGGACAAATATTTATTTGTCCGTTATTGTAAAAGTCAAGGAAACATTTATCTATGAAAGTACATTTTCTTTGTTGGTTACCAGGGGTGGGAGGGGAGGGGAGGAACACTGTTAGACAGATAGAGATAAGTTTTGATTTGGGTGAAGAGAAGGGCAATGTACCAAATGTGAGTGATCAATATAGTGGATAGTGGCATTGAGGAAGAGAAAGACACAGAGAGGTATGTGGGAAGTACAGAGAACAAAGATGAACCCTTTTGCACATATAGTACGGCGTTGTCAGTGAAAGCAAAC